GGTAGGAGTCACTATCCTTACGCAGGAATCAAAAACATCAGCGCGTAAAACTCTTGAAGCGTTTTGGATCAATGCCAAAAATTCAAAAATGAACCGCAAGGAGGAGTGTCTTGTCATCACGCGTGACCTGGCGCCATACCTCAGGCTGATCCAATGACCTGACATGGACACAGTTATCGACCATGTATTACTCTGTGCGGCGGCTATCCACCAACTAACTTAAATACTTACAACAAATAAACGGTAGGTGTTTGAATGAAGCTGTTCCTTATGCGAATGCAAATCGAATTGTCAAGTTTTATCTGCTAGGGTTGTGAAAGTGTTTGGCTGAGTAGATCACATCTCAATTTGACCTTTCCAGGCTCTGAAGAAGGCGAAACCGCCGAAACGTCAGCAATTGTGTTCTAATAAATTCTATATTAACAACCTCGTGTCTGCTTATTGATGAAAAACATTGAATAATCACGAAAAGTCGATTTCTAGCTGCTTTTTTCTAGGAATGCTTTTGTTAGTTAGGTTGATATTTATCGGTTTTTCAGTCATGCACTTTTAACTCTTTCGCGATGAACTTGGTATTTCGACAACTGACGATTAATTCCTCCGTCACTAAAATATTTCAGATGTTGAGAACATTGTAGATTTATAGAGTGGAAACTTCTATCAGCGTCATTTCAAATTGAAATATATTTAGAACTAGGACTTTCAAAGAATTGATGCTGTAGTCTGAAATTTTAAAGCATCCAGCTAAAGAGCAGCGGCTGCAAGCATAAACAACACATTGGGAAGGACTAGGTTTTACTGCTGGGTGAAGTGACGCTTGTTGCTTTGCTTTCATGTATGGAATGTGAGCCTTGAACCAATAATGTGTAGGACTACCTTTTGAACTCCAGACAGAAAAGCAGAATTTTACCGTGGTAAAACCAGAGAAGTTTTATGCTGTGGGTGTTGATTTAAAGATGCATTCGCATCCTATGACTCCTGTGGAGGTAACGCTTCGCATCATTCTTAAACTGTTTTATTTGTGGATATTTTTTCTCAACTGATATGTATTGGATTTTTTTTGTCGATCAGTTAGCTCATTTACGGCGATGCTTGTTTTTCAACAGTTTTGGTTATTTTTTTTTCGATAAGCAGAGTGCTTAATGACGGGAAGATTTGAAATAATTGTGGAAATTTCTTTACAGTATCGCACGAAAAATGTATATATTTTTATAAAAGATTTTTGACGTGTTTAAAACACTAAAATTAACTATTATTCCACTTTTATTTTATTAACAAGCTAACACGTGGCTTTTACCAAACATTTGTCCGGCTAACGTTCCGACGTTTTGGTCTTCGTCAGAGCCGATGATTCGAGTCGATGGTCTACAGTCCTTCGTTGTCTCAATGTGATGTTTTTATCGAAACAACTGAATAGGAAATCATCAACAATCGGTATCACTAACAACTAACAACTGTACAAGGCAGCATCGCCGGATGAGGTTGTCTCATTCGAACGGTGCTCCCCCGATGAAGATTCGACTTGATAGAACGCCAAAGGCATCAGATCGAGAAAACGAACAACTGTGAAATATCAGCTGGGATCATCGGCATTATTGGCTCTGAGAAAACGAAAATATCGGAACATTAGCTGAGTAAATGTTTGGTAACAACGTTATGGCTTATCAGTGAAATAAGGTACATTGATAATTCATGCAGAGGTTGAATGAAATTTGGTTTGAAGTACTAAAATTAGCATTGTTGTTGAAATGAAAATATTGAAAACTTCGGTACAAATATAGTAATTACCCAAATTGTTGATACATTTCTGAACACCACCGTTTTTTTTTTGAAAGGATGGTCTACGCTTTTAGTCGCTTCGGTGTTTGAAATACGATTCGTTTCCAGGAATACTTTATGGGCTCCAAAAAATTAGGATTTCATCTTACTTGGAGAAGAAAGCATACCCTATTGGTGAAAGTCTGTAGATTTCAGTCGTTTCTATTTCAGTTAATGAAATATGATGTCATGTACGATTGTCTATTTCTGAGTAGCTAAATACTTTTTGAACATGTAAGCGTTTAAGTAGTGAATGGATATTATCCGAGCTATGTGGAAAAGTACCACTACTTCGTTCATACTTGTTAAAAATGTCTTTTCTGGTGAGAAGAGTTAAGCAACGCCGTCGGAACGGTGCCGTATGTCCTTCAATGCTTCACGATGTCACCTTGGCGAGGTGTTCTTAATTGCCTTTTATAATAAATTGTTAAGTTATCCATCAGTCAATTTTCCTTTTTGTTTGTTTCATTTGGAAGTTTGGAGAAATCCTAGTTAGAATGGTTCTATGATTGATTTTAAAATGTCGACAAATAGATAGCTACTTTCTGTCTTCACATATTACACGGGTCCAAGTCCTATCTTTTAATTCGTTGTCTTTCATCCGTTGACGAGGAAGTTGTTTAATCCGGCTATAATGTGGGGATTATTTCTTCTTCTGTTTCATAAATGGCGTTGTATGTTGCTCGAACGTGATTCTCCCTGAAGTCCCAGGACAGCACTGCCAGACTGTTCCTAGGTTTTCACAACGGAGGTACCCCTTTTTATGGATCAGAGCGATTCTTTCCCAGGTAGGTTTCAATATCAATTTGCCTTCCGGAACGAAGAGGGCTTGGTTGGCGCGAGATGGATCCGTCCAAACCGTTTATGTATTGTTGAGCGGCTCCAACCACAGCATTACATGCTCCAATTATTATATTATATTAACAATGTATATCATAGTCCTCTATTTTAGTACGTTCGAGAAGAGCAATAACGTATATGGAATTATTGTAAGCTGAAGTTGTGAATAGCAACCATTGTTTGAAAGCAAACCTAAATAACTAGTACGATCAGCCTTGCTAAAATCTGCGCCGGTTCGTCACCACTACAGACAGTCGTCGCCGTTCTGGATCAGAGGGATATTTGCCACCATGCGACAGGTTTCTACCAGGACGGTGATAGATCCTAGTATTGGTTTACTCTTAGCTAGGATTCCTGATGAAAACGCTGCACTCCCTCTCAGCTATGGAGGCTGTGCTGCGGGATAGATCCACCCTCTGTATATCGTGGCCCGACACCCGGGAACACCTCCCAGCCACGGTGAAGCGTTACACCGTTGGGAGGATTTACTTCTATAGTGCATGTATTTACGAAGTCTTTCCTAAATTTTCGCTATATTGGTTATGGGATGATAGAAAAATCTCATGAAAGTCACTTGTCACTTACACTCTCATAGATTCACATAAGATGATTTAAACAAGTTGGTAACATTAACTGTTTAAGATTGAATACTACATGAAGGGCATGAGTATTTTGGAGAAACGAGATGTCGATGCTGCAAAGACTGTAGTTTTTCTGTTGGATAGTAATCTTGCTGATAAACAGGTTTGAAATATACAATTCTTTCTTCTTGATTTATTCAACATTGCTGTTCTGTCGTTTTGATTTAGTTATGAGAGTTTTGCAAACCAAAAATAAGGTTGAGTTTTACATTTTTATGTGATCGAGCTCCATTCCAATGAATGCGAATTTTTAGTTGGCCTTTTAATGTAGTGCAAGTCGGAAAATCACTAGGCACTAATAGGTTAATATGTAAATCGTACGGATCTCCCATCGTTTGTGTACTCATGGTTTATCAGTGCTGACCTGTTAGCATATGTGATTGGTCACTTTCATTAAAGTGGATAAACACAGTTGATTTGTTTGAGTTGATGAGAAAGCTTAATAAAGCACTGTGTGTTTAGAAAGTGTAATGCATCCATGGTTTTCTGCTTATTATTATATTCGGTTTGTTCTTTTTGTTCTTCCACCATTTCAAACGGTGTCAAAATTGCTTGCGTCTAGGTGGAACTGTGTGTACCAGCAAGTACTTTTACAGGCAGTTGTGAAACGAGCGCAGACAGCTGAACAGCTGCTCGGAATGGGATTCAGTGCTGAGCAGGTGTTTCCTGCGCTTCTGGCCTGTCAAGGAGATCGTGTGAAAGCCTTGGACACCCTACTAGGGTCACATTAGAGCGTGATATCCAAATTTCTCATTTGTTTCGATTTTAATTATAGGATAATAACAGAGTACAATTATCCCCGTCGTATAAGAATTTTCAAACGGGTTCTAAAGCCAGTATACCTTTGAATAACAAAGTTTTCGAGAAGGTCTGTAATGTTTACCACTCGCTTGCTTAGGTGAGTGTAAGCAACGTGAGCATTGAGCAGTGTGAGACTTCCACGGTGTGATGGTGAGGGAGGGACTACTTTATTGGCTAAAATAAGTGAACTCAGGAAAAAGTGTCGGTCGTTTTTATTTCGAACGTAGGATCCCTCGGATCTGTTGTAACGGGGATGTTGTCAATGAGTGTGGGAACCTGCCATCGAACGTATGCCTTTTCCTGTGACTACGTCTTTAGCGTATATTCATGCATAGCATATAAATGCTGTTTCGTATTCCCATACTGGTGTTTTAGTTGCAATTCCAACGAGAATTCTGGATTTCCATTTCACTTCTCATAATTATCTTTCTGTTCTTGTAAATATGTTGATCAAATCTTTTACTTCGAATGTTGAGAAGACTTTTACAAAGTATTATTTCTTTGAAGTAAATTAATTTGAGCAGAGGAATCGATATCATCTACTTAATTTCAGATGTTCTTTGTAACTGGCTGTTTCTGCATCCCTTTAGAGAGCTTTTTTTTCTCTGATAAGATAAGCTTAATTTCAGTTTTTTCTCGTACTATGTAATCGTATCAACCAACAAATACTTAGTGCATAAATAAAGTCCACCCAAGCATTAAGTGTGGAGCAATATGGAGCTGTTCTTTCACTTACGATTTGTGTTTCGTAGATAATAGACGAGGAGTTTTAGTAAACATTCACAAAACAAAGTGACATGACGCGAACTGCGTAAGCTTACTATGCCAAAGTGTGACCTCTCAACATTCACTACATATTCAGCGAATCCGCTAAAGTGGTCCAGACAATGGTTTGAGCGGTTTCCAATGGTCGTACTAGTTTTCGGGGTTGGGGTAGCGATCAATATGGGTGGGGTGGGCCAACGAGCGCCGCCATTGTCCATCTGCGCAGTCGTCCATTCCTCATCACCATCGTGGGACCGCCCTCCCTCTAAACCTCCACGACCACACCAGCAGCTCTTCTCCCGCTTTACCCTAATAGATCCTTCACCCAGCATCTGCAAGCATATTCTGTTATACTATTTTTCCTTATTAACTGCTATTGTACTCGTTCCTCGGCTCATTGTAGCTGATTGTCGTCATGTATTTATTAGCAGTGGTATTTGTATGGTTGTTCTGCCTTAGCACATTCGGTTCGGGTATTATTGATCGGCGACCAGGTAACAAAATAAAGTGATCCTTATGTTGTGTGCTCACGTTTGGAATGTTATTTGATTTCATAGTACGTTGTGGAAAACCTGGCGACGTGGTTCGTGCCATTTTTGTTCCTACATCTTTGACGTCATTTATTTCCGGTAGATCACAATAGAGAACTATTTCGAGATGAACAGTGCTATGGAATTTATATACACTTTGGCAACAAGTGGGCTTAATCATAGTTCCTGCGATTCGGGTTTGGTCTTTCTTTGGAAGAAATGCGTTGTGATTAGCACATCGTTCAAATCGGAGGCGTTTAGCGATTAAATTACGCTTTAGTGAACTTCTTTTTAAGTGTAAATGTTTGAGCACTTCTTTCAATTGGTTCGCTTTCTCTCCTCCGTAAGCCACGTAGATCTTCGGATCTAGACATTGGTTTGGCTGTAAGCGTGAAGATTTTGTCTTTTCGTGAATGTCAGTGGATGCTGGCAGAGCTAGAAACTCAAAAATCCCGGCACAGTGTGCTAGGGCGTTCCCACGTCTTCATCATGGACAGCCGCAAATCTTTGTAGATTGGAGAGAGCCTCTCCCAAGCAAGCCTGGCACAAATCTACCGGCCATGGAGGAATAAGGAGGTCGGGCAGCTAAGATCTCCGTTAAACCGGCGATCTTTCTGGAGCTTGGACTGGACCATCGCGCCACGCTCCTTTTTGTGCTCATCGCGCATTAGTTGCTTAAAAGTCCTTGAAGATTGGTTTTCCGTACTGTTTTACACCACTTTCTTATATTTATCGTGCGTTCTTATGTGAAATATGAGACCATCGTTGTACTGCGAATTTTGGAAAGAACTGGTTTGTTGGTTTCTGTAAAGTCAAATTTAACTAGAAGCGATGCAAACAGCAGACATATTCAACTTTGTTCGTCATCGGTTTGCCTTATCGAGAACGTTTGTCTCTGCTTTCCCATACCTCCTGGATGCTGTTGCCCTTGAAAGTGGCCGTTTTATTGGTGACGATTTTACATGGCGTATAACAATTTGAGAATCACTTCGATTCTCAGGAAACGTCTCATCTCTATGATATTCAAAAATGGGCAAAAGAATTCAGTGGTCAGTTCTTGCTGTTGATTGCTTAGCAAATGATTTGAAGGGAAATGGTAGTCATAAGAACGTTTTAATTCATCCTGCGATGATTTGCTACTGTTTATACATGTTATTTCTTAGCTGTAATCGACAAATTTTAATCGTATGATCTTCTGAACCAATCCGAATGTACCGCATAGTTCGCCTACACCTTTGTTACTGGTGTTTAAATCGTTAGCCTTATCTCGGGTTGTTTAAGGTCTTTAAAACTCGCTTTCTTGACATTTTGTATTCATTACAAGTGGTCTCAACTAGGCGATCTTTTTTTCTTTGAACCACAATGTTGCTGAGATATTCGCAAAACTAGGATCTCGGATCAGATCGGACCACGATTTCCCTTTTTGGGAGCTCGCGCACTACACACTGCCCTACGGAGGCCCTTGCTCTGCGTTTCTCTCAGCTAGTTTTCTACCTAACACTGCCATCAGCAATCAAAGCTGCCCGTGAAAAATTATAGTAGACAGAAAATAAAAGGCTGACATTATGATTTCGACTACAGCCTCAGCTTAATTGGGTTCAGTACCGACTTGTGCTCTCCATATCAATCAATCCAGCTGAGGGGTAATTACTGATGGCAGCGTTAGGTAGAAAACTAGCTAGAAGAAACGCAGAGCAAGGACCTCCTCCATGGCGCAGTGTGATGCGCGAGCCTCCGGAAAGGAAAATCATGGTTCGATCTGTCCCGTGGGTCGAAGTTTTGCGAATATCTCAACATTCTTGTGGTTGTAATTCCTGTAGTAAAAATTTGTAGTAGGCAGAAAATAAAAGGTTAATATTGTGGGTTTTTTAGTTTGCAAATAGCAGAGGATTTTTTAAAACTTTAAAATTAACGGTTGGATCTCGGCAGACTACGGTGCTAACACGTTGGAAGATTCCTATCAAATGGACTAATAAAACCTACGATTTTAGAAATTATTAGAAAAACCTGCGATTTGAAAAAGTTGTAAACGTTGTTGCTTTACAGCTTATGCTGAAGTCCAAATGGGAACATAAAAAATAACACTATGACTCCCAAAAGTGAGAAGCACGAGAGCGTTTCCAACGTTTCCGAGCTTTTTCCGGAAATATTTAATTGCTCTCCTCTTCTATAAGTAGTAACAGCAGTGTCGTACAATAGATTCAGAACCGATTATTATTATTCGCGTAAATGCTTGAGCCTAGGCCTTCCATTCATTCGTTCCCATTTGTTTCCTTACTATAGTCGTCTATGGAGACGATCAGGTTCTTGTGTGGGGTCGGCTGCGGAATGAAAGTCTGTCGTTCCCTCTCCTCAGTGATATACTGAATGCAGGTTGCATATGATTTTCCTAAAATCCCGAAATGTCCCTTCTACAGCGTTCACAGGTCTTAGTCACAGTCAGTCGTAAGTCATTTTAAATCGGAAAGACTTCTGGTACCTTGCTTCACAAATTCTTCCAAGGTGACAGTAATTCTTCAGCAAACTCCGCGGCTAAATAACCGGCCTATGTGATCGAGGGCGATGTAAAAGGCAGAATTACAGTGTAAAACAAACGACCATTAAATAAAGTTATAACGCTTTTTGAAGTTAGTAGTAAAGTAGTAAAGTAGCCTATCAATGAAAGAAGGTATATTGATCATTTATGCTGTGGTTAAATAGATGTCGGCTTACAGTGCTTTTTAAAGCTGTTTGGTGATGTGGACCGTCGTCCTAAGCTCGTACTACGTTTTTAAGAGTTTGCAATCGTTATGGGTTGAATAAATGAAGGAGATGTTAAGGTATCGATCGAGAAAACTTTTTTGTAATCACATTTATACTATACTATACTATACACATTTATACCATTACTATATCTTACGAACAGATTCATTCTGAATATTACGCCATTCAATTTTTAGCCACACTTTAACTACTATTGAATGATTTTGGTGAGGAAGTGCTGGAAATTAGAAAGTGTAACTGCGTGCAGTTCTGCTGAATGTGATCCAATTACATTAGCGATGCTCTTGGGTGGTTAGTATCTGACAGCTTCCGTCATCTGACATTGACATCGCCGGACGATCGTCACAGCGTGAGCGCCGGCGCAAATACTTTAGTTCTGTTATTGCCCAGATGAGCAAAAGGACTTCAGCTCGACCTAATATTATTTCCTATAGAGGGAAAATGTATATGGGGTGAAGTAAACTTTGTTGTTAGAGATTTCTTGCAACAATATGCGAATATGCACATAGGTCGATTCCTCTCGAAACCAACCATTCCTCCGTAGTCGGGAAATTGGTACCAAATATCTCTAAAAAGCACCCGTGGAACTAAAAGACCTAGAAACACCCTAACAGGTCTATCGCAGGATTCCATGAGACAATCCAACCAGAATTCGTACGGAAGACGAAAATCCTCGAACAGTATCCGAACCCACAGGCAAATCGGAAGACACGTGAATGACGGATCAGAGGAATGAATCGAATAAAAGAAATGCTGGCATCGGCCCAACATGTGATTTTAAGGCAAATACATTTTGAGAAATGTGGGGTTACATCGATAACTAGAAAAGAACAGTGAGAGAGTGTCATTAGAAGTAAAAAAGGCAAAAGAATTTATATTTCATGGAGAGATGTGAACAGGTTTAAAATTCCTGAATGGAAATTTAGTTTGCTTGTGATGATAGCGTTGACGATTGCAAAACTTGGCCTCTGTGAAGGCGGAGAGTTTTTCCTGGGTTTCTTGACGGTCTGTCACTCTCTATTAAACAGCAGTCAATTCTAATTACGGCTGCCGATTGACCCGATCGTCGACCGTTTCCAGGAAACGTTGGTCACGTTCCTTATTTCATCAACGCCAATAATTTCCTTGTTGACCTTGTTCTAATCAGCGGCGGCGGGAGTGGTGGTGGTGGTGATCGACGTATTTGATTGAGCCAAGACTGACCTTTATCTAAAGGTGAAACGATTTCGTCGACGTCGTTATTTTATTTACTTACCTGGATACTTGGACGGTCCGTCTTCACGAGTCGCGTGGACCCCAGTACATATGCCATTCGTTCCTTTCTCTCGCAATCGTAGTCCATGGTGGTGGTTTTGTTCGAGCAAGGTAGCGCTTACGAGTCTCATACCGTGATCTGTAAAACAACTGCAGCTGCGGGTACAGCTGATTAACTATGTTTACGGACACGTCCGCCCAACATGTAGATGGTCGTCCTATGGGACGCTTGCATTCTCTTGGAGTCCATTCTACTGTCCTTTTCGTCCATCTGTCGTTGGCTCTTCTCATTATGTGACCGGTCCATCTATGTTTCGCTGTCGATGTGTATTCTACTGGATCTCGAAGATGTGACAGATTTCGAAGGTCAGAACCTCGCATTCTGGCTACATATTGAGGGTGTCGGTTATATTTCAGAAGACATCGCTCAAGCGCTCTGTGAGTAGTTCGAAGCATTCTTAACGTAGTTGAAGTATCAACCCACGTCTCTGCAGCATAACAGAGCGCTGGGAGGACCGTAGAATCAAAGAGATGAGCGCGGATTTTCGGGTCCATCAGTTGGTCGGTGGTTTCTTTGAGAGGCCCGAATGCGGTCCAAGTTGCTCTCCTTCTTCTATCTAGTTCCTCCTTCATGTTGTTTTCCATATGCATTGATCGCCCAACGTAAACTTACGAGGTGGTCTCTGCAATGAGAGAGCCACCCAATTCAATTTTTTCGCCTTCGCACCATGGGTTTTTCATGAAGTGGGTTTTCTTTCGATTTATGCGAAGTCCTATCTTTTTCCCCGCTTCGTTGAGCTCGTTGATCATCTCCTCTGTTTCGCTAATACTTCTTGAGAAGATGACAATGTCGTCGGCAAAACGAAGGTTTGATAGGAATTTTCCATCAATACGTATGCCTTTCTCTTCCCAATCGTTATTTTACTTAATTTGCATTATTTGATAAATGTACCCTAGAAGAATGATGAATGTGAGAAACTCCGACCACTGCGGTGGGGCAGATTTAACAACCGTGAGAATGACGAGATATGAGCAAAACTCAGAACCTCAGATGGATTTCGAACCTATGATTACCCTTATCGGGGCTGACATGCTATCCAACATACCAACAGAGCACTCGGTTTTGTTTTTAGCGCGTGATCCCTGCTAAGGCTAATCAGGAGTTCGAAGCCCACTTGAGGTTCCAAGTCTTCCTCATATCTCAGCATCTTTCTAGTTCTATCTCGCATAGGATCTTGCCGTTAAAAAAGAATAGATAGTAGTTGAAAGTTAAGACCTCAATGATATTTATATAACTAGGCAAAGAAGCTTTCTCCATATTCGAATCTATTCAGATTACCTGTTTTCTCGTGGAGATTTGGATTACCGTAATCTTGTGCTTGACGTGAACTCAGCCTCTCTGTATGTTGGAGCTCGTGGAAGAATATTTCGATTATGGGCCTACAATATTAACGACACTTCGGAAAATCTGGTAATAAATTTTTATTGCATTTCTACTTGTGGATAAATCTTGTTGTATAAATTATTAAGGATATCTTTTCAACGTCAGTGTTCCTTCCTACTGATATACTCTGAACTTCCATTTTACTCTATTAATTGGAATTTGAATGCTTATAGTATAGTGTTATATGTGATTTTCTGAGTTCTTCCTTTCATTTGTTCTTATCTAAACAAAAACTGCTAGAAAGACAAGCTAACCCTTATTTTTTAAATGCAACCCGTCTTTACGTTTGCTCTGCGGATCCCATCACTTCTCACATTCGATTCATTTCCTGGCATCCATTATCCACAACAGTCTTCCAACTTTTACGAGTGTCTTCGGCTACTGCTTGAGAGCTTTCTTTTCATTTTGAACGTCGCTGCATGTTGATGGAGGCGATTCTCTCTATAGTCCTGAGGTAACCCGGCTAGAGAATTCCCGTATTGATTGCCGAAGTGATTTTCTCCTCGGTGAATACGATGCCAATTTCTCGACTCCAGAGGAATAACAGGCTTGGTGAGCCCGGAGCAAGATCGAACTAACAGCATGCTCGCGATAATCGGCATCACTACCACTTTCTATCCGCCACCTCAATCTGATTAGATTGTTAGAAAAACTAGCTGAGAGAAACAAAAAACAAGGGCCTCAGTGGTGTAGCGTGTAATACGCGAGGCCCTAGAAAGTGTAATCGTGGGGCAGTGTGGCCCGGCGTCCAAGTTTTGCGAATATCTCAGCGTCGTTGTGGATGTATTTCACATCGTACCCTGCCGTGAAAAATTACTGTAGGCAGCGAATAAAAGGTTAACATTATTGTTATTGTTAATAACAATGGCAGTAATAATAAGCGATAACAGTAAAAATCATAAGACATTCGACTTCACTAAACATCGTTGGAGGTGATTGAATGGATTTCTGATCTTTACAATGACTCGCGGCGACCTTTCCTTATTCTATATGAAGCTTATCGAGCCAGTGCTGCTGTCCACCGAGACAAACCTGGTACCAATTTGCCGACTCCGGGGGTACGGAAGTCGTGGTGAGCCACTGGTGCGGTGATCGGTCCCACATGTGTGTCGCAGGATGCCTTCGACCACTGCGCCACATACGCCGTAAGTAACAGTCGGTAATAATAACCGATGGTCATGATAATAATAGTATTAGTAATAACAATGTTATAATAACAATAATAGTAATGACAAAGAGTAAATAATAACAATATTAACAATGAATGACGAATTACAATCACTAGTAACAGTCAATGATAATAATAGTAATGGTGATAATAATAGTTGGATAACCACAGTGATGCTGAAATGTTTGCAGAACTCCAGACCACAGGCGTCTGCGGTGGAGAACGAACACGCGTTGCCCTTTCCGGGAGCTAACGTGTTCACCACCACACCATACGGGTCCTTCGTTTCGCTTGTCTCTCAGGTAATCCTATCGATCGGGCGCCATCAGCAACCATCCGTCTACAGGATTGATCTGGGGAGCCTACATCGGCATTGAACCCAGTTAAACTGAGGCTTAACTGAGCAAGCTGAGAGACAGGCGAAACGAAGGACCCGCATGATGTGATGGTGAACGCCTTAGCCCCAGGAAGGGTAATAGCGCGTTCCCACTTCAGACACCTGCAGTCCTCAGTTTTGCAAATATCTCAGCATCATTGTGGTTGTTTTGCATACTTATACTTTTTACTCATGTTTTATATACATACTTTTACATACTAATACTTTGCGATGAAGAATTATAATAGGCAGTAGATAAAAAGTCAACTTACTTAGATACTAGGATGGTCCTTCTTCATGAGTTGTGCAGACTCCAGCGCATTTTCCTTTCTTTCCCACGCAGTCGTCGTCCATGGTGGTGGTTTTATTCGAGCATGCTGGTGCGTGCGGGTCCCATAGCGTGATCTGTAAAATGGTTATAATAATAGTAATAGTAACAGTAAATATTACAATAATAGTAATAGTGAAGTTTTTAGGGACAAAAATAAGATGTAGGATCTAATGTATTGTAGATATCGCAACAGTTTGCTACGTATTTTATCTAAATTATTCTGGTGTCTTATTCGTAATTTCTGGGACGTTTTCATTATGTCACACATATCGCATTTTCTTTTACTTTATAAGTCCGTTAATTCGATGATTCTCATGTATTATTATGAACCCTAACACTTTTCAAAACTCGGGATTCTCTTTGTTCGCAAGAGCGCTCGAAATGCTTCTTAGATGAGCTCGCTTTCATCAGTCCTGCACGAAAACTCGTCCACAGGTCGTGCGTTTGAGTGGGCGGGGCGTTTGCAATAATTACTTCACTACGAGCGTCATAAAAAATTATTCGGCAGTCTTGTGAGCTGAAAAAACTTTTAGTGCACAGGTACTTTGGTTTATTTTGCTTAACGTCTCTTTGATCGTCGTTTCGCTTCAGTTCGTTGATCGTCATGTCAAAGTGTCACCGGTCGAGTTGTCAGAGTGTCGTGCCTTGGGAAACTCGATCGAGGACTGTCAGCCATCGACGAGATTTATGGCGCTTCAGGATAATAAAGAACGACTATTTGTGAGTTCCAGATGGAGTGTGGGCTTGAAGTCGGGGTTAATTGTTGTGTGCATAAGTTTTACTAAAAATTACTGACATACTAATACGCTTTTTTGATAATTGTAAAGGGTTCTATGACTGTAAATTTATGGAAAAGATGTTTTTCCTCTCTGAGCAGTGCTACTCAGAAACCTCTGTTTTTGATCTCTTTGTTCTTTCTTTACGACAATAGCCTACATTTGGGCGGATTTCCAGATGATTAGACAGAATTGATTTTGGTTTGCAGGTCTGAATCGTTGAGAGATTACGGAGATTTCGCGAAGTGGATCATCACCGCTCAATAAAGCCATGACTTTTCACTAAATTACTACGGTTTAGGTGTGTTCGTCAGTGGCAATGAGACCGGAGATCCGCGTTCTCGATGCCGTAACATTACGAGATCGTCAAGAATCACGTACAGAAATTGGAATCTGTGCTCCAGATGCCTACGTAAACGCAACCGCTGTCATTGTCGGTTCGTCTGTATAGATGTGCTGATCACTCAGCTTCCTTATTATTGAGAACTAGGTACTTCTTCATTTTATCTGTTCAGAATGGGGTAATCCAAGCGAGCTATCGTCGGTATATTCTGGAATCCGAACTGGTATGGCCGGTGAGAATCATCTAATCTACCGACCTGCTCTTGTCGACAAGGATCAGGAGGTGCATTCGAGCATGCGAAGTGTCTACACAGACAATCGCTGGCTATACGGTAGGTGCGATTGTTATATACAGCACTTCAAATGTTCTTGAATGCGTCTAAAAATCGCATGTTTCTACTATGTGGGGTTATCACATTATTCTTCAGGACACAGCAGACCGTACTATGTCACATTTAGACCTTGCGTTGCAAATCTTGTTCTCTAAATCTAGCAGTTTAACATATAGTTCTACTGGTATATAAATCTTTGGGCACAGCGTCTTACTAGCAGTTATGACGTGATATCGACCGGTAACGTTCTAGAGCATTTATTAATTGATAAGGGGTGTCAATAATTTTAATAATCAATAGTTTAGCAAAGTTGGTAGCAAAGTTCAGTATTAGTTTGATTTTCAATAATTAGTTCAGGTAAACAAAAAACAAACGAAAATTTAAAGCGTTGCGGAACTTTCTGGCCAGTTCAGTGTTTACCGTTTCACATTCAGGAATAATTTCTTCGTGCGCCGACTTCGTACTTTGCACATACCGTACATCAACAGAGCATTTGTGTTCTCTGGGCTTTTTTAACCCAAAGAGTGTCATCTCCATTTTACATAACCAGCCCTCGTATGCTTTTCTTATGGGCCACGCCGCTATGGCTGTTATGTTGTAAGGCAGCCAATAAGCATAAAAATGAGAGCACGGTTATGGTAGTGAGGAACATTAGAGAGACTTAAGTAAGAATATTAGCAATTTGAGGGCCCGAAAGAGGAGAGGAAATTATTGGGATAGGATGAAACGGAAGATGTTGCGAATATTTATCACTTTACTACGAAGTTTAGATGAGTATTTTTCATGAATCATACAAGTTCATCAGCTTTTTCTCTTGTTTCGTTGTTGTATGGGCAAGTATTTAACTCCCAATAAATAGGAAACTGTGGCGAAGTTTTCGCAGGTCGTCGTTGCAAGCAGTGGTTTGCCAGTAGTGGGTCTCTTCTGACCTAATTGTGGTTTGCTAACTTACAATTAAATTTTGTCAATCGCACTAAAATTGCCTTCATAATCTTTCTCTTACACTGAATTTGTGGTGAAAATGTTTGATTTCTTAGCTCAACTGATCGTGCTTAAGAGATGAATTCCCTAAGCTGTACTTCATAGGTGAATGCTGTGGAGCGGAACGTTACCACGATAAACCGTAGAAGGATCTCTTTTACTGCAAATAACAATCTATTGAATTTGGTCTAACTGAAAAATCGGAAAATTGTGTGCTACGGTAACCAAGAAAAATCGCCTACGGTAAAAACATATATACCGTTGTTATTCATTATTTTTTCTACTACGTGAGTCGACGTCACATGTATCACATTATGCGGATCCCAGCAGTTTTTGTATTCGATTCGTTTCCTCGCTTCCACCATCCACGGAAGTCTTCGGAAACATTTTCCGTGTGGCTTGGGGTACTGCTGGAGAGTTTCTTCACTCTCCGTCAGGAATGTCGTTGATGCTGGTCGTGTTGATCCTCTCTGGAATCTTGTAACATTCGGGATAGAGTATCCTCACATGGATTAGAGTGAACGAGCTTTCTTAGAGGAATCTGATTCAAACTCCCTGACCACGAAGGGATGGGAGACTTGGTGAGCCCAGTGTGAAATCGAGCCATCTCATGGTTAGGTCTTCCCGAAATGAACGATATCACTACCACTGCATTATTCAAAATGAATTTGACGTAAAAATGCTTTATATTGTTGCAGGTAGTATAGTAGATGTCACATGTCCAGTTACCATGTTCTTTATAGTCCAATTCACCTCAATGTTTGATTAGCTGCTGTGTGTGTCTTTTCTTGCGATCTTGAGTTAAACCCGTTATTGCCAGTGAGGGCTCATTTTTCCAGTTCGGAACTAGAGTATAGCGAGTAAAAAGTAAAAGCTCTTATGCAGCATTGATTTCCTGTTTCCTGGACTTTCGCTTCCCATTAAGATGTTCATTTCTTGAGCAAGGTGACCATGTTGATGGGGTGATAATTTGATGCTTAGGAACATCTTCTAAACATAATGAGACGGGAAACTTTGAAAGCGATTTGTTCTTCATCCAAAAGAGTCCGTGTAAATGTTTGAATGCCTCATATAACCATGAATGAGCTAGTTTTTTTTCCATCTTCATCATATTTTTTTCTACAATTTACCTATTTCGTTGTATGCGTGTGATCCGAGGGACAATGGATGTCTACAGCTAGTACAGTCTGTGCAGTTTTTATGCAAGTGTTACGGTAGCCTTATCCATCGGTCACTAATGAATGCTTATGGATGCGGCTGAATCGGATTTTTCTCAGGAATGATTGGGTTAGCCGTCGGCATAGCGCCGACAGCCGAGGCCGTGTAACGAGGTACGGAATTATTCCATACGCTGGAGGGATCAAATCGTTCTTCCATAAAGTCGAGGAAAAACTTCTTCTTTCTTCTGAAGAAATTGTGACAAGGCCGGTTTTTTGATAAGCTCCAATAATTTTTCAGTAACAAAAAAAATGCTCACGAACTCAACAGTCATAGAAGATAAGAGAGACCTTGTCCCGTGGCTCTAATGATATTTACAGTTTCTGCTATTTAATGTTAATTTGATTTTGATATTTTAAATGAACACTTAAAAGCAATTGTAAGCAAGCGCAGCAAAGGGCAACACAAACGATTTATTTGGTCCAAATGATTTTAATTTCATTGTAGTCGTATAGTCGAAGAAGCAAAGTTATAACTATTGGTAACTAGCTATGTGCAGATTTTGACGGTTTTTCTTTCATAAATAAAATTATTGTGAGCTGAGACATGTTTTTCTAAAGTTAGAAGGGTATATTGTTTTCTTCCGGGCTTGGCGCAGTGTTCGGAGGCGCTCTGCAATACACATGGGATGGATTCCCCTTCCCCTCTCTCTCCCCTCGCACACCAAGCCTTCCATCCCTTCGGGGGTCGGCAAATTGGTACCAGACATGTCTGGGAGCACTGGATCGATACATCGGTAGGCCACCGTGAGTCATTGTAAAGGCCAGACATGCATTCAATCACCTACAGACGATGCTTACTAAACATGATACATGTTTGATGTATGTTGATGTTGATGCTTACATGATACATCACTTATGGATTGATCAGCGCCGAGAGCTTTATCCTTAATTGTTTTCTGCCAAGTGCGCGTTGAAACCGATGTATATCATTGGAAGTTTACTGACGCAGTTTCTGCAAATATTTATCGTACTTCATGGTTTTAATATGTTTTTGTTTCAGAGCCCCAATTTGTTGGTTCGTTTGATGTTGGCGAGTATGTGTACTTCTTTTTTCGTGAAATCGCCATAGAAAGCGGAACAACCGAAAGAAGTGTATACAGCAGGGTGGCGAGGGTATGTAAGGTGAGTGAGGGACACTAAGGAAGGGTAAAACCGTTGTGAAAGTTGCCAGTTTCAAATCTTTTATTAGGTTTATGAGGCTGGTGACTATTAACGCGCCTGGCAGTATTAACAACTTTCTTTCCAATTCAGTGTGGTTAAACACCTGTATTTACTCTTTATCCAGAGGGGAACGGTTGTACAGCTGTTTCTGCACCAAACTTCCTGGAATAAAATGACAAAAATAGTATTCGTTTTTCTGATTACAAAAAAAGCTGTGCCAAGCGGTATCAAACAAATAAAATTTCATTCGAAGGTGTGATTAGTGGAAGCATTTGAATGCTGTAGAGACGTCCCAGAACTTGGATGTTGTCTTCTTTATTATTTTACTACTGAAAGAGAGTCTTGTTTTATTTCACTGCTACATTACTTTGTATCATGTTATTTTTATTTTCTCTCTAATTATTTTTTCTCGATGCGCTAGCCTTTACCTCATATCATAGTGCTAAATTTGGTAGGTGGATAACAAAGAGCTCTCTTCAGCATGAAAGGAGCTCTTCTTGTGATGAGAAGGTATGCTAATGCAAAGCCCCTGTGGTATTCGAAGGTGAACAAAAAAGGAAAAAAATAAAAAAAAGAAAAGCCCGGGTATAGTGAAAGTAATACTGTAATTTGCCCAAGAGCTTCGTTTCCACGAACCAATCGGAATAATAAAACGATTAGTATGGCAGGTGTAACGCAGTGGTTAGAGGAGCCTTGGGATAAACATGATCATTGGTTCAATCCTTCCTACCACTCTATTCTGCCACAACGTTGCTGAGATATTTGCAAAACTCTGGACCGCAGGTGTCTATGGTGGGGAACGAACGCGCTATTATCCTTTCCGGGGAGTAACGCGTTCACCACCACACCATGCGGGTTCTTTGTTTCGCACGTCTCTCAGCTATTTCTATCGATCTTTTTGCCACAGCAATCACCCGTCAGCGGGGTTGATCTGACGACGCCAGACTTGTTTTGGAGAATTTAAGAAGCCGCCAAGCTGATATATCGGGATGCCACCGCGAGTCATTGTATAGGCCTAATATGCATTCAATCACCTATACGATGCTGAGTGTTGTCGAATGCAAGACACATCCCGGCAGAATTGCTCGGCACCGAACGATTAATTTCCCTATCTTCTTTGTTTTTATCCCCGGTTAAAATAATCGAATACTAAGGACTAAATGACACCGTATACTAGGATTTAACAGCGAGTATTGACTGCTAAATGAAAGACAACGAGGAGGTAAAGGAGAAGAAGCTGGCCGATAGATTTAAAGTTGAACGGGAAAAAATCGGATCTGATCAAAAACACTTTCGTTATTTTTCCAGAAGGACGTTGGAGGACGCGTGGTTCTGCGGCAGGTGTGGACGTCGTTTTTGAAAGCTCGTTTAAACTGCTCTATTTCAGCACAATATCCGTTTTACTTCGACCATATACGTAAGTATAGTTTTTTCGGCTTTAAGATAAAGTTAACTTGGTCTAGTCATGTTCAAGTATTACTTTCTATGCCCTCTCATCTTCTGTTTCTTTCTGCTTCTAATTTTTATTCGCCGCCTACCACAATTTTCACGGCAGGGTGTTACGCGAAATCAACTAAAACGATGCAGAGATATTCGCAAAACTTGGACTCTGGAACAAATCGACCCGACGTTTTTTTTTTCGGGGGCTGGGACATTAAACAGAGCGCTACGGAGGCCCTTGCTCTGCTTTTCTCTCAGCTACTTTTCTATCTACTAGCGCCATCAGTAATCACCCGTTAACTGGACCGATCTAGGTGATTACTGATGGCACTGGTAGATAGAAAACTAGCACAGAGAAACACAAAGCAAAGACCTCCGTGGTGGCGTGTTTAATGTCCCAGCCCCCGGAAAAAGAAATCGTCGGGTCGATCTGGCCCGGGGTTCAAGTTTGGCGAATATCTCAGCATTGTTGTGGCTAACTTCCTGCTTTTTTGATACCTTACTCTATCAAGCTCTTATACAGTGAAGCCGAAGTTTAATGCTGTTCAAAATTTTTGTGATGAGCTGTCGAAACTGAATTTTTTTTTACATGACCCGTCCTATCTACTCTGCGGATCCCAGCACTCCCATTCGATTTGTTTCCTCGCACTCATCATCGACGAGGATCCTCGAACTTTCAGCACGTGGGTTCATATGCTGTTTGAGGATTTTTTCGTCTTCATCATGAATGTCGTCGAATGTTGGTCGAGTTGCTTCTTCCTGGAGTCGTGGACAGTCAGGCTACAGCGTTCCCATTTGGATTACACGAAATGAGCTGTTTCTAGAGAGATCAGGTACTGAAATGCCGAGGTAGGGAGGGTTGGTGAGCTCTGTGCGGTGTTGAACCGATGTTGTGCTCCTAATGAAGGGCATATGCTGTCACTGTGCTACCCACGTGCTCTAAAGTAAATGCAATGGAAAAAAAAAACGAAAAGCGACAGTTTCGTCCCATCAGGAATTGTAAGAATTAGACACAGTTACTTCGGAAAACTGAAATTCCAAAATTTGGCCAAAACTGAAGAATAAAGGAATATATTACATTGCCACCATGGAGTTTGGTGTTCATTTTATTTGGTACATTCTTTGTAGACGATAATCGTATGGACAAAGACCTTGGTTTACACTTTTCCACTGATAAGCTAACTTAAAGTTGTTACCAAAACTCCATTCGCCTAACGTTTCGACGTTCTCGCCTTCTTCAGAGTCGCGATGATCCGAGTCAGTGGTCAAGGAAAGAAAAATTGAGAGTTCTCCATAAGGAAACAGATTCGTTGTCGTCATTAAAAGTCACCATGCAGTACTGACATTTTCGCAGTTGTTTACATACCTAACAGCTGCTAAAATCGCTTTTTCAGTAAAAGAATTTTGGAGTAGAAAAGGGTGGCAATGAAAAAAAATGGAAAATTAGGGAAAAAAGAGGCGAAAACCTTGTAGTTGTGGATGTTTTCTGGAATAGGAAATAAAGTACGGTAAATAATTAATTCAGAGGCGGTAACTCGAGTCGAGACTTTGGAGGATACGCTGTTCTATGCAACGATGAGTACATCGGAGACGGCGTTTGTAACGTCAGCAATTTGTGTGTTTTCCCTGAAGAACATCAACCAGGTTGATATGTACTTTTTCATTGATAACCCAAATTTGCTAGTTTGCTCATCCTAAAATCTCACACTTGTCAACAAACGTATAGACTTCAGATAGTCCATATGTTTAGTTATTCCATCATGGTTTCTTCGTTGATCCGAATAGTTCAAATTGGTTACCGTTACCAATGGAAGCAGTACCTGAGCATAGGCCTGGAACGGTATGAATTAGACTGGATATAGCAATATCGTTAATTTAACACCTGTGATTTCAGTGTGTCTTGAACTCACATTTGCTTTCCGATTCCGATCTACACTTCGCTAAATCGCATCTGATGATGGCAGCCCCTGTGTCAGGTTGGTCGAGGGCTCTAATCGAATCTTTGTTTCCTTAGCCAAATATTTAGCACATTTTTAGGAGGTACTCCTATTCTTCCTACTCGAGACGTTGTTTTCACGCACATCGCGGTCGATATTCGAAATGAACAGAATGTGATTTTTGTACTGGATGGCAGGTGAGTGGATTAAAGGGCGCTTTCTGATGTTAGCTATAATAATGATCTCAAATGTGAAAATAAGGAAAGAGGTAAAGAAAAGGTGAAGTGGATCTAGCTTGAAAGGCGCAAAAAAGCGACCACACTTGTAGATCGCTCATTGATCTGCTATTGGCCAATAGATTGGTTAAGTTGTTCCTTTTGTGTTGTGATAAGGTGAGGTTCTTTCGCATGAACCTACATTTTATTTATCTGTTATTCACATATTATGGAATCTCAGTGCTTCTTTCATCTATTGTCTTGCATTCATTATCTACAAAGGTGTTCGGATTAACGTCTGGGTCCGGCTGCTATTCAAAGATTTTGTCTTTCTCATGAGTGTAGTAGATTCCTGGTCCTTTACTCCGTCTGGAAACCTGGAATTGCCCCACTAGAGCTTTTTCAGTTTTTCACTTCGGAGACAATTGCCCGCATTTGTGAGTCGGAGTAATTGTTTCTAATATAAGTGTTCTAAGGGCAGCTACAAGGATGCTGAGATATGAGTACAACTTGGAACATCAGATGTCGATTTATACTCCTCAGATCATTCCCGTTGATGGCTTTTGCTAATAGCACTCTTAGAGTAAAAAACTAGCTTAGGGTGAGGCAAAGCAACAACGACCTCGGTTGGTGCAGTGAACAACACATGAGCAATCGGAAAGGGTAATCTCGCGTTCGAAGGGCATCGGACGTTCCGAGTTTTGCTCATATCTCAACATCCTTGTGCTTGTACTTCACGCAATACCTTGTCATAAAAAAGAATGAGCAGAAAATAAAAGTTGAACCATTGTGCTACACACAGCCTGCCAACCCCGGTGTGATGGTAACCTGGTTGGCCCAAACTTGAACCGGCGACCATGCGTGTTTTGTACGGTATCTTTAACAATTGCGCTTCGCTAACCATTGGAACTTACATTTATCTTGTCAAATAGCAAGAATTGCTCATTTTACTATGACATCATGACTGCTCAGGTGCTTTATTTCCAAACGGAGAATTTGTGATTTGGGTTAAGAGACTGGAGGTTTTTGGCTGTAATAGCATTCTACAAGGATCTATGAGGTTTTCAGAAACAAATTCTTCAGGTCGAATACTTTATGGAAAGTATCTCATTGGCGTGACGGAAACTCATGGGTATGGTCAGAATTGGAACGTAGAACGATTTCGAATGTGGGGTTGATTAAGGCGATGGCGCTATTGCCAGGCGGTATCTTTTCTCTAGGAATCTTATTCTCTTAAAATCCTTTTGTTCTACTCCTATTCATTTCCAGTTTTACTTTTTCATTCCAAAATATGTTTTTCACTATTCTTATATTAATGTTACATGGGTTAGGATCCTTTTTTGAAGCCATTGTAAACGTCGATCTAAACCTCTTTACTCCGTTTACTTGAACCTTGTAGTAGTAGATCAGAAGGCGGACTCATCTGTGCTGCTCCCTGCACCACATTTCATGGACCATAAAAATAAAGTCAAAAGAGTATATTAATAATAATAGTATTAACCTGGAATGCTAGCGGTTAATAACAGTACTATTGATAATAATGGTATTAACTTGGCTAATTTTCAGAATTTCTATACTTCGCGTCACGATCATCCGTCACACAGTACACTTTAGCAGCTTGTGAATTGCACATTTCGTGCTCTGTATGTGCCGTGGATCCATACTGTAGTTGGAATGTCGCTAGATCGTCTTGCTATCCACGAGAGAAAGCGCATGGACAAAGTTTGGGATGGATATCGTCATGGGCGGGTCGAAGCCCATCGGAATGTTTGGCACTAGCCAAACCTCACACAAAGTCTGCTTATCCGGGAGACACAATTCACTTCACGGGGATGTCTGGTGCTGTCTGGAAACGGGACGGAAACGTGTGAGTGGTTAAACAATCACTTAACATTCTAAACTGTAGCTATCGCAGAAGGTGCCTTTGAAGTGATGTAATAGGTGGCCAATCCAATACGATCAGTTGTGGTATACTTTCAGAAGTTGTTCACCATCACCTTATCTTTGTATTGTAGTACTAATACTGAATCAAGTTCTAGAATCACATCGTGTGATCGAGTACTGTTCACCGACTTAGGAGGATTGGTGGTTATGAATGTTTCGCGGGAAGATAACGCCGACTATGAATGCACCGTTAACGGAAAATATCCGATCAAATATCGATTAGTTGTAGATCACGGTAAGTACAGATGTCGTGAATGTATTATACTGTTTAAATAAACCTATATTTTAAAGAGGAATGCGCTCAACCGCGAACAGTGCAAGCGTATAAATCCTGCCAACGTGAATGGTGCAAGAAGGCAGATCAGTACAAAACTGCGTTGGCCGATTGGAACGATGCGAAGAGACGTAATGTGAGTCGTACGAAAAGAGTTTGCTTTTTAGAAAAGGAAAAGCTCCTGTGGTTCGTGAAAAGTGAAATCAACAGATAAAAGAAGTGTACAGATGGATATGGAAGTGGCTGCTGCAGTTGTTATTTGTAGATGTTGACCATAGTTAAAATAGTACTTCATGTCTGGATATGAAAAGGAAAAGTGGTTTGGAGTTAAATTAAGCTCAAATCTAGATTATTGATTGATGTTTTGTTTTCAAAGAATCAAACAAAGTGAATTTTCCCATGACCGACTTTCTGTTAACCTCGGCATTAATTGATAATTCAATGTTTTTCATCAATAAGCAGACACGAGGTTGTTAATATAGAATTTATTAGAACACAATTGCTGACGTTTCGGCGGTTTCGCCTTCTTCAGAGCCTGGAAAGGTCAAATTGAGATGTGATCTACTCAGCCAAACACTTTCATAACCCCAGCAGATAAAACTTGATAAATCGATTTGCATTCGCATAAGAAACAGCTTCATTCAAACACCTACCGTTTATTTGTTGTAAGTATTTAAGTTAGTTGGTGGATAGCCGCCGCACAGAGTAATACATGGTCGATAACTGTGTCCAAGTCAGGTCATTGGATCAGCCTGAGGTATGGCGCCAGGTCACGCGTGATGACAAGACACTCCTCCTTGCGGTTCATTTTTGAATGTTTGGCATTGATCCAAAAGGCTTCAAGAGTTTTACGCGCTGACCTGACTTGGACACAGTTATCGACCATGTATTACTCTGTGCGGCGGCTATCCACCAACTAACTTAAATACTTACAACAAATAAACGGTAGGTGTTTGAATGAAGCTGTTTCTTATGCGAATGCAAATCGATTTATCAAGTTTTATCTGCTGGGGTTATGAAAGTGTTTGGCTGAGTAGATCACATCTCAATTTGACCTTTCCAGGCTCTGAAGAAGGCGAAACCGCCGAAACGTCAGCAATTGTGTTCTAATAAATTCTATATTAACAACCTCGTGTCTGCTTATTGATGAAAAACATTGAAAGTGAATTTTACAGGCTCAATGTCTATCGAACGACTCATCAAACGGTGACCTTCATAATCGGATTGAGTAGAAATGGTTTATTAATGATATTTACCGGTAATCAGTATTGATCTTTGACCGTAAGCGATACTGCTTACATCGTTGTCGTTCATATATTGCAGTGATTGATCTCTCTGTATATCTTATGTTTATTGATTTTTCGGCCGAAATATTACTTTCAGCGAAGGCAAGCTCAGAACCTGCTTATCCTTCTCATCATTTCTGACTTCCAGAACTCATAAGATTCTCTTTGCTGCGTTTATTTAAAGCATAACGTTCACTTTACCGTCAGCCATGAGCTGAATAAACTGCCATTATTGATTGACTGTGAAGATTCTGTTTCTGTTCAGATGGTGAATAAAAAGCAAACAATTAAAGGATGCTTTCAACTAATGTGTTTATCAAAGTAGACCGCCATATTTATATCAATCTGATTGTGATGGCGCTTTCTGCTTTCATAGTTCAATGCATCGTGATCGCCGTTCACATCGCGCGCCAATCCCAGCACTTCTTGCTTTCATTTCTCAGTGCAATTGGTGATCCGATTCGAAATTGTCGGCACAGCGACAAGATTCCTGAATCTCTATCGATCGTTGTCTTCCGTGGAAATTCGATAAATCCGTGTTAATTGACTTCGTAGTGCCAACTATGGTTGACGCATTTCTGGTTACACAGAACTATTCCGTGCACCTTGCCGTGAACGTTGATTTATTCCGAATCACATAGTTTGCAACACTCAATAGTTAAACTGTATAAAGAGATTGTTCCAACAACCCTGCTAGATGTTATCTGTAGAGGTTATATTTCATCAGACTCCGTCCAAGCATGCTGTTGGTAGTGCGTAATATTTCCGACGTGATTGAACTGTTAACTCAAATCACGATTGATCTTCTTAAACACAATTTCTCCTACGGTTTGGATTCCATCTGTAAATCGGACTCTCAGGTTGAATTCTACTTTCTCAATGCCCAATTGTTTAAACTTCTTCCAAATCTCTTGATATAGGGACAAGATAACTTCGTAAAAGTCTTGCACGGAAAGCTCAACAAGCAGATCAGGCAGCATTTTCGTCCATTACGTGTGATAGGTGAATATTGTAGCTGGATAGGTCACCAAGACAATGCTTCGGATCCGTCTTTCTCCGGGCTGCTTCTGGGAGCTTCTTGTTTCTTTATCATTTTTAAGCATTCCACGAGGACATCCTTAACATGGCCTTTATAATCAGCCATGTTATTTGTGTAGCAGAGCGATCAAACTTCAGCTTGCTTGCTTCTCGGACAATTCCTTTCTGGCGGTGAAGATGCGATATGATAACATATTCGCTATAAAATGAAGAAGTGAGGCCTGTTTAGTCCTGCCACCATGAACTCCTAGTTTTTCATGTCATAGAAGTAGAGGATTTTCTTCAGAATATTCAAACGATATATGGACTTGTCTTTTTTTCCTGGGCAGTGGCAACACTCTTCCTCCAGCTTATGGTTGGAACGATTCTTCCCTAGAAAGTCGTGATATATCGATATGTGATAAATTATGGGGTATTGCGTGCTCAGATGTGTTTGGTGCATAATATGAAATTGTGGGGTGTTGAATTTTCCGAGAAATTGAAGTTTTTATTGCAGACATGAATGGGAAGGGATCTGGATATGTTTAGAAAAGGATAGCAGTGCCGGAGGATGTCTCCATCCCACTTTTGATGTACGGCTCTGCTAACTTAAGTAGTATTGATGCCATTGCAATGATAAAATCTGGTATATTGAGTACAATCTTATCAAGAAAGGTTTATTTATGTCTTCTTCCAGTGCACTTGGACAAAAAATTGTGGAGTTCAACGTGAAGTTATTCTTAATATTGTGACTAATTCAAACCGACTTATAAATGTCAAGGATAGAAATGTTTACTCATTACGATTACGACATCTGTTACCATCAGTGCCACTCCCATTTGAAGTTTAGATGACTGTGTCGTTTCCTTGTTCAGCAATCGCGAGGTTTTTAAACAGCATACATTTACTTCCATAAAAACACAATACAATACAACGCTAGCTGACGTTTCGGCAGTATCGCCTTCTTCAGAGCCTGGAAGATGACTATCCGTACATTATGCGTGCTTCGTGATGTGAATAAAAATAAATGGAAAAAGTATTGAGTCTGGAATCGGGATTGAACTATACATATCCGATCTATTCCCGTGTAAAATGACACAGGTATTCTAAAATTCTTTATCTGCATCTGCAGCAGAGACATTGCTAGAGTGCAATGTGAGGTGTGACATGGATCTTGTAGGTGTATTGCTTCTACATCTGCTGCTCAATCTTGGGTATTTAAACCGTTATACGAGATGAAAAAGGACAAAGGGATAAAGCGCTCTTCGTTGATCAGTCCTTGAGAGAGGCGCCATTCATTCGACTTTATTAAGCGCCGTTGGTGATCGAATGCATCTGGTATATTGGGTACAGTTTTTTCATATTACGCTTTTCGAATGACTCGTGGTGGGTTATCGATGTATCGACCCAGTGGTCACAGACAAGTCTGTTACCAGTTTGCCGACCCTTGAAGGATGGAAGGCTCGCCGAGCTTTAACTGCAGGATCGATCCCATGTGCATTGCAGGGTGCCTCCAACCACTCCACTACACGCGCTCCTGAATATATATATAAGCAGTATCACCTAAATCACTTGTAGTCCCGTTGGTCGTCGAGTGACTCGAACAGGAACTAGTAAATCTTCCATTTTTCTCTGTCGCGTGCAAGAGTACCCCAGTGGGTTCTGCTGGCTCTAGAGACTCGTCGAGCATCATATCTTTCTTCAAGGCTCTTTGTGAAGAACTCTGACCATCGGGTCAGTGATGTTTCTGCAGTGCGTTTAACATCCCGAGGAATCCAGTCACTGGCGGCCCTTGTCCATCGGCTGTCATTCATACGCATTACGTGTCTGGCCCACCTTATCTTCGACTGTTTGGCGTACAGAACGGCATCTTTGATTTTTGATCGTTGAAGCAGGTCGGAGCTTCAGATCCCACCCCTTACTTGTGTGAAACGGGATACTTCTAGTATCTTCCTTTCGACTGCGCGTTTGATAACGATGAGTGGTCTTTCATCTTGCTTACCAAGCAGAATATGGAAGCAATCAACTATAATCAACTCTTAATAATGATTCGTGCGTCCGATTCCACTACGCGTCATAAAATCTACTGAATCCATATTTGACGCATACAATGGAAACCGGTTATCTACTGATATATCAATTCAGTGCTGCTGTCCTCTCAGACAAGTCTTTTACCTGTTTGCCGATCCAATGGAAGCCTTGGGTTGCCTAGAGCACACGATTGCACCAGCTACCCTGGAGGGCACCACTGCTCTGCATGTGCTCGTATGAACCATGACTAAACCATTTCGCATAGATGAATAATCTAGAGGTAGGGAATTGGGAGGAGGAGAACATTAATACCTAGACATAGCTTCCGTGATGGACCGATTGAATAGGAAAAGAAGCAAATAAGATTTCTCACGAATATTGTCCAAATTAGAAAACCTGTTGCTAACTGGAAGAGTAGGACGATGGTCATAAGAATGGGTTCCAAAATCAGTAGCAATTTTTGCATTCTATTAGGGAATGCACCGATCTTCATAGGAGAGTACTTCTATACACTAGGTGTCCTCCATAATCTATGATTTCCTTTAATTGATTTACAGTGCAATTCTCCCAGCTTCGTTGAGCTCAGTTGAATCTGTTTCCTCTATGCTTCTAGAAAAAAGAACCATGTCGCCACTAAAACGATGACTGGAGAGAAAACGCTCATCAAAGCAAATCATTTCATTGTGGCATCCGTTCCTTCTAGTGACTTCGCACACTACTTGTAGTGTTACGCTGAATAGGCTTGGCGATATTATGTCATCCTATCGCATTCCTTTAACCAACTGTCATCGTACAATGACTATTCAGCTTTTCAGCTTTCCCTTTCATTATGTAGCAAGTCGTCTCCAATCGTCCACCCAGGATTCAAAATATCGTTTTG